CTCCCTGGAGCGCCGCCGCTCATCTTTGTCTCGGCTCCGTGAACGCCTCCGCCGGTCCCGAGAGCGGGAGCGTCGCCGTTCCCGTTCCTTGTCTCGCTCCCGGCTCCGCTCTCTTCGCTCCCGCTCGCGGTCCCGGTCCCGGTCCCTGTGGGGAAGCGGGGAGGGGCCGGGCCTGGATGAGGTGGGCAGCGGTGTGTGGCAGGGCTCCCCAGGTGACCAAACCCCATCCCAGGAAACCAGTCCCCCAATCTTACCTCTCATCATAGCGGGATGTGTCATCACGGCCTGAATGCCGGATATTCACGTCAGCCCCACCTCTTCGGGTACCACCCAGGCCACCTCCTGAAGGAAGGGCAGAGAACACAAGGTCACTCCGGACAGGCAAGACAAAAAAGGAAAAGAGCCTCGAAGAGCACAGGACAGCATGTATGAGGCCCTGAATTCCAGCCCAAGAAGCCCTCCCACAAAAAAGGGGGTGACTGTGAGAACACCCTGAAAAAAATCCGACTCCAAAGCCTCTAACCTTGCCCACTGCATACTACATGGCCTCTCAAGACCCCTCCTTTCAAGCACCCCCCTCATAGACCTGATGTCAGTGGACTAGGTGAAAATGTGACCTGCTTAGAAGCCTGCACCAGCTTCCTCTGCTTCAAGTCCAAACTCCTCAACCAGCTGGAACAGCCTGTGCGAGCTGCCCCTCCAGGTTCCACTAAGGATTGGGGCACTTCTAAGGAGTCTCCCTCCAGTCTCTTCGGCCTCCCCACCTCCTCTGGCCAATGTTCTCATGCACCTGTATCTCCTTCCCTGGAATGACATCACCCTCCTCTTCTAATTCCTACTGACCCTTCAGGTCAGCTCAAACATCACTTCCTCACAGAACTTCCCAGTCCTATAGACTAAGATGTTCTCCACTATGTTCTCCTGGGTCCAAACATGTCCTTCAACTAGAGTTTCAAAGTTGCTGTTTCGGTGAGGTAATAACTACCTGTATTCCATCTCGAGAGTAGGAATTGTGCCTGGCTGTGCTCAGTGACCAACAGCTGGTCTAGAAGGGTGATTTGTATCTACTGAGTGGATAAATGAACAACCCTAAGGAGACTGACAGCCTCATCTTTCAGATGGAGAAACAGTGTCAGATCAAGGCACTTGCACCCAGTGAAAAGGCAAGAAAGGGGCAGGGCTGGGATAACACTCCTGTTTTCCTGCAGAGCTTGCCTTACCAAGAACTGTTCTGTACCACCAAGCCTAGAAGATGGCTTGAGGCAGGACTGAGTTCCAAACGGAACAACTTTTAATGAAGATACTAGAAGCTGGGCATGGTGACACATGCCTATAATCCCAGTGGCTTGAGAGGCTGAGGCAGGAGGATAGAGAGTTGAAAGCCAGCCTCAGCTACAAAATTCAGTGAGACCCTGTCTCTAAATAAAATATTTTAAAAAAGGCTGCACATATGCCTCAGTGGTTGAGTGTCCCCAAGTTCAATCCTCGATACCAAAAAAAAAAAAAAAGATAATAGGAAAAGGAAAAGGAGGCTGACTGGACACCAGGAGACAATTTAGAGAGGTGTAACTAGGGAGCAAGCAGCTGTCACAGAACACAGAGCAGCTGTACAAGTGCATTAAATTTTCAGGTCACAACCCTGCAATGAGTTATACCATCAATCTAAGGGGATACAAACATCTTAAAAAAAAAAAAACCAACTTGAGAGGCAGGAGGATCAAAGCCATCCTCAGCAACGTAGCAAGAATCTGTCTCAAAAAATTAAAAGGGCTGGGGATGTCACTTAGTGGTTAAGTGCCTCTGGGTTCAATACCTGACACCAAAAAAATAAATAAACTAAAAATAAAACAGTACTGGGGATGTGGCCCCGCAAAAAAAAAAAAAAAAAAAAATAGTACTGGCGATGTGGCTCAGTAGTAGAGGGCTTGCCTAGTATGCACAAGGCCCCGAGTTCCATCCCTAGCACTGCAAAATAAATTAATTAAAAAAAAAACTGTAAACAGCAATAACCAAACAAAAACAACCCCCCCCCCAAACAAAACTCCCAGCAGAATCAAGTACTACTGTGCATTGCATGTAGAAAACACAATTAGTGGGGCTGGGGCAGTAGCCCGGTGGCAGAGTGCTTTCCTTGTTAGGCACTGGTTCAATCCTTAGCACCTCATAAAAACAAATAAATCCATGCTGTCCATCTACAACTATCAAAAAAAAAAAAAAAAGTGAAAAGGGGGGTGCAAATCAAACTTCTTAAAAAAAGAAAACGTAATTACTATATAAAACTTTTCTTTGGGTTGTATTTCTACATACATTTGAACCAAGATGAATGACTAATGCCATTAGGAAGTTTGAAAGCCAAATGAACTGAAAGATTGAGATTTTGGAAACATTTTCAGATTCTAAGACTCTCCCACAATAGGAAGTAGAGCCTTAAGCATCCACTCCCCTGAAAACTGAAGAGTAAGGAGAGGGGGCTGGGGCTGTAGCCAGTGGCAGAGCACCTGCTTAGCATGTGTGAGGCACTGGGTTTGATCTTGAGCACCACATAAAAATAAACAAAACAAAGGCATTCTGTCCATCTACAACTATAAAAAAATGGCTATGAAGGTCAGAGGCTCAGCTAACAAGTGTGTAGCCTACTTGGCATAGGTGCATCAAGTGACAACAGAGCTGAAGAAACGAATGGTGGTACCAACACTGCCTGGGACAGCTGCACAAAATACCTTCTCTAACAACTGCACCAAACAGGCTGTCATGACAGGATCTCCACCCCAGGCGGAGGCCCACCCCACAAAAAACAGAGAACAAAGACTGGTCCAGAACTGGTATCAAGCAGGGAACTGGAACATGCATGCTACGCCAGGACAGGGCACAGACACACAGAGGAGATCAGTATGCACAAGTAACAAGCACACCAGAGGAAACTGTAAGGTGTCAGGGCTGGGCTGCCTCAGTCCCTGATGTCTGAAGGTATAGTTCCCAGGTCCTCTCGAGGTCCACTGGCACTGCAGGACTCGATTCCAATAGATACCTACAATCCTGCACTAAGAGGGCCCTTTATGTATTAGGAAGCTCAACTGAACTTCTAAAACTTACCCACCAAACTGACCTTGACTGAGATGGTGAATGACAATGGGGGAGGGACTGAGTGTTATGAGGCTTGAGGGCAGAGACTAGATGTCCTGCTCTAGACTAGAAGCAGGTGATGAGCAAGAAATGGAGGGAGAAGTGGGCAGCTGAGCAGGTGAGTGAGCAGGAGACACAGGTTATCCAGGTAATGGGGGAGAGAAGAATCAGGCCACTTAGCACAGGGCCAGAATATGCTCACCTAGCCGCCGGGGCCTCCAGCCCTTCACAGTTCGGCCCCTCTCCACATCCACAAGGACTCTCCTGCCATCAATCTTCTTGCCATCTGCGTGTTTGTAAGCGGCTGCAACAGATGTGGGAAGGGGGGAGGGGAGAGGAGTCCCCAGAGGGTCCTCTAGTCAGGACAGGGCCTAGCGCTGCAGCATCCCCACCCCCAGAAACCCCCATCACCTCTCTCTCTCTCACACACACACACACACACACACAGACACAAACACTCACACTCACACACACACACAGCAGCCAGCCAGGCAACTGACAGCCAGACCAACTCTCTTCCGACCCGGTGAGGGGCCTGCTCCATCTCAACGCCTGCTTTCTTTTTACTAGCCCCCCATTGCTACATGCAGTGCATGTCCTTCCCCAACTGCCATCTCCCTGGACTCACAGTCCCTTCCCAATCCCACATGATGGAACAGCCCCCTCTTGCCAGGATGGCCAAAGTCGCTGCAAAGAAACTGGAGGTTAACTTAATGCTGGACTCTGCTGTGGGGGAGGGGCTCCTCCACAACCCCAGGCATGCACCCTAGAACATCATGCTGGGGCAGGAGGCCCGACTGGGCAACTCCATACCCCAGTTCACACCGTTTTTTCTGTAATGCTTTTTTTGGGGTGAGGAGGTGAGTGTGGGAAAACAGACATCAGAACAGAAAATGAACCAGAAGGGGGTGGGAGAAATCTTCAGGAAATGGCAGGGAGCAGAAAGGCGGGTTATGCACTCCCAGGGGGCCTAGAGGGGCCCCCCCAGCAAGGGGACATGGAGGGAGGCATGGGAGACGTGCGGTGCTACTGAAAATTCCTGCCTTACCTGAGATGACTGACCCTGCCACCACCCAGCCCGACCCCATCTCTCCCCTCCACACCCTTGCTCAACACGTGCTGGGAATCCAGCCCAAGTCTGAGCCTATCAGGGAATAGTGAGGAGTAGAGGAGAGGAGACAAGGCCCATCACTGCTCTGGGCAGGGCAAGCACAGGGCAGCAGGCCCAATGCCCAGGTCTGTCATCACATGGGGCTACTGGGAAGGCCAAAAAGACCCTGTCCCCCTCCCCAGCCCTGACCTAGGGGAACTATCCTCAACCAACCACAATACCCTGCCCCGCCCCAGCCCGCTCCCCCCCAAATAACAACCAGAGGAAGAGAAAAATGTGCCATTTACCGATGCCGGCCTTGCGGGTGTCCAAACCGAGCGGGATGGGGGGGGCTCGGCAACTCCTGGGGGCCTGGCGAGGAGGCGGGCTTCCCGGGGGGGGGACACGGGACCGCTTACCTGGAGCCCCCAAGCTTACCTGAGCACGCGCACAGACCCCACACCCACCACCATGGGGTCAGCTAAAGCTACAGGGAGGAAAACTGAGGGTTCTCAGGAGCCCCCAGTGGGAGAAACCACATCTCCTGCACCACCTGGAGACAGGCCGAGGAAGAAAGTGGTGGACCCCACAGAAACCTCATGGACAGATAATTAACTTAAAATCTGTGGAATGGAAAGCCCTGGGCCTATTCTCCTTGAATTAAAAAAGAGAAGGCTGGGAGGCCTTAGAATACCTGTCACCCTCACCAACTCCCAAAACAGTCAAACTCAACTCGACACAGGCTCTCCCTTCTGAGAACAGGGAATGACTCTTCCACCTCCAACTCCACATGCCCTCCCACCAGCAGCTGCAGCTCCAAGGCTGCCTGGTGCTCAGGGGACATACTTTGGGGTCCAGGAGATGGAGTGCTACCCGTGCTCCAAGGAGGGGCCGCTTGGCCCCTGAACCCAGAGAAGGGTGGTGGGGAAGAGAACTAAAGGACCAGGGTCATAGTCAAGCAAAGGAATCCTGCTTGGGCTCAGCATCCCAAACCCCAAGAGAGGCCCAACCCAGGAGAACAGCAAAGAAAACATGTGATTGTGTCCATCTAGGCTTCTCTCTCTTTCCCTCTCTTATGTCTCCAGACAGTGGCAGGTCTTGAGTAAAATCCTACCATACCTTCAGCCTTCGCAGCCTGCTTCTTGATCCCTCCCACACCCCAAGCCCCAATTCCATGCACTTCAGGGAGTGCCTGACCATCCCTGGAGGGGAGCTGGGCACCACAGCCAGCCCTCTAGGGAGGCCTCAACCACGTTAAGGAAGACAGGAAGGGGACAGAGCACCTAAAACTAGCAGCCAAAAACTCTCCAGGGCCACCACAGTGAGTGCCCCACAGAAGTGATGGTGGGGGACAGAGAGAGAAGGGCTGAAGGGTTCCATGTGGAGCCCGGCCCCACCACACCCCAGCTTCAGTATATTCCCGCCACCTTTCGCTCATGTTGTGAAGCCAGGTAAGTCAGGGGTTGGGTGGAGCCCGACTGGAAAGGCCAGTTGCTTTTCCCATCAAGATCCACCCTTCCCCTCCTGGGATCAGCAAGATAATCAGAGAGCATATGGATGGGGGCCAGGAGGGGCAAAGGGCACCCAAGTAAGGAAAGGGCTGGGTGCAGGGAGGCTGAGGGGGCGACCGGGGCGGGAAGAGGGATGCCTCGCTGCTCCTGTGCTGCCTGGCTAAGCTGGACTGGTGTGCGGTGCTGAGTGATCTTACCCATGATACAAACCCTTATACCAACCATACACTGAGGTGTTGTAAGGGGAGCGTAAGCATCAGCTGCAAGCCAGCTGCGTGGTGGCTGCAGTGACAATAAGAACAGTCAATTAATACGGCGGCCCCTGGACACGCCGCAGCCCTGCCCGCCCCCACCCACCCATCCCTGCCCAAGTGGACGCCGCGCAGCCTCAAGGGGGCTTGAGCTGTGGGGGCAGACGCTGAACACGACCACCAGCCCACTGAGGAACAGGATTGGGGGCAGGGGTGGGGAGGTGGAGGGTCGGGTGGCTCAGCCCCAGCTCTGCTGGGAGAAGAGAGGGCAGGTTCAAAGGCCAGTCCTCACTTCAACCTGGTCATCCCCAACTCCAGTGGGGGAATAATGGGGAGATGCTCCCCGAAAATCCGACCCCTCCCCCCACCTCCAGCTGGCCCCAGCCCCCACCCAGTTCCCTCCTTGCCCCTAAGGTTCAACGTGTGACACTTACCTCCCCGAGCTCACACACACACACGTTGTGGGGGATTTGGTTTTTGTTTTTTAAAAAACACGTATATATATAAAAAAAAAAAAGATATATCAGAAACAGAGGGAGAAGGAGAAAAGACATTGCTAATGTCAGGTGTGGCAGGGAAAGGGGGACAGACGACAGGGAAGGGACTGGGGCAGCAGAGAAGTGAGAGAGGGTCAGAGGGAAGGGCTGAAGTGGGAGGTACTCACAATGCATGTCTCGCTCATGCTCATACTCAATGAAGGCATAGCCTCTGGGCTTTCCTGACCGCTTACTGTAGACCATGTGTATCTGCAAGGCAGATAAGATGTAGGTTAGTCCTGCCTCACAACAGCCCGCCCATCATATAACTCTATGCCTAGGCTGAAGGACGCCAGAGACACATCCTCAGATTTTCTCTGTCCTTCGGCTTTTTTTTTTTTTTTTTTTTGAGTGGGGGATAGTGAGTGTCCTAGGGATTGGACCCAGGGGCATTTTACCACTGAGCTATGTGCCCAGGCCTTTTTATTTTGAGACAGAGTCTTGCTAAATTGCTAAGGCTCGCCTCAAACTTGTGATCCTCCTGCCACAGTCTCCCAAACTGCTGGGATTACAGGCTTGTGCCACTATATGTGGCTCTCTGTCCTTCAAGATCCTCCAGTGACTTCAGTGACTTATGCTCTAAAGATGAAAACAAAGGACACAACAGACACCTGAGTGACACAGATGCAGTTTCCTGGAGAAAGAACACTTAAGCCAAAACCTAGACAATGAAAAGGGATCAAGAGTGGGGAGTTGGCTTATAAAGTAGAGTAGCAGTAACTCCAAAGACGAATAGCTTGGGAGGGGACTGGGGATGCAGTAAAGTGAGGACGAATGGAACATTCTTTTTTTTTTTTGGTGGTGGTACTGGACCTTAAACTCAGGGGGACTCTACCAATGAGCCACACCTCTAGTCTATTTAGTTTTTGAGGCATTCTTGCTAAGTTGCTGAAGGTGGTCTTAAACTGAAAATTCTCCGCCTCAGCCTCTCAGCAGCTAGGATTACAGGCAAATACCACCACACCTGGCTCATTTTAACTACCCTTTCTTAAATTTTATTTTAGTCGTTGATAGTCCTTTATTTTATTTGTTTATTTATATGTGGTGTTGGGAATTGAACGCAGTGCCTCTCGTGTACAAGGCAAGCACTCTACTGCTGAGCTACAACTCCAGCCCCTCATTTTAACTACTTTTTCAGTGGCATTCAGTATATTAACAAAGTTGTGCAAGCATCATGGCTGTTTCCAGAATTTTTTCCAATAGAAACCCTGTCTCCAGAGTAACTGGGATTACAGGTGTGCACCACAGTCCCCAAAGAGAATGGCACTTATTTTGATAATAAGGATCCTTACGAGATTAGGCCGCAAAGGTAGAAAGGCACCAGGGCCAAGTACCCACAATGCCAGGCTAAGAAGGAGGCTAAAGCAGAGGGCTACAAGTATGAGAAGAGCCTGGGCAACTTACCAATCCCTGTCTCCAAATAAAAAGGGTTTGGGATATAGACTGTCCATGTAGAGTTGGAAAAACAGAGGAATTCTGAATGCCAAAAGGAAAAGAGAGTTCTAGGGTTAAGAGAAGGGCATAGAGAGGGCAAGGGATCACGCTTAGTGGTACAGTGCTTGCCTAGCATGTATGAGGCCCTGGACTCCATCCCCAGCATCTCTTAAGACATGAGGTAGGAAGAAAAGAGCAAATGCAGTCATAAAACTCAATATGTACGAAGTCAGGGAGAACTGAGAGTGTGAAGCATTCCAAGAAAAGCCCTATGTCGGAGATGGAAAGAGGATAGAGATACATAAGCCATAGAGGTAGTGCAGGGCCACAGAGTAATTGCCGAGAGGCCAGGCTCTAGATTCCAGATCTCTGTCCCAATATGCTAGGGAGCTACACGAGGTTGTGAGCAGAGAAGATGGGGTCATCTCTGAACATTAGAAAGATCCCTTTAGGACTACACAGGGGATGAATTAAATAGAGAACAAAAGCCCAACAGGAATGACTTCTAGGAAACAGCACTTGAGCTGGTCACCAAAAGATGGCTAGTTCTTCACTTATATCACTACCTCTCAGTGACCTGCCCCCATTACAAATGAATACAGTTCCCAGTCCTAGGATTTGAACCTTAGGACAGCAGATTCCAAAATCCAACCGAGTCAGGCACAGTGGTGCACACATATAATCCTAGCAACTTTGGAGGCAGTGGCAGGAAGAATGCAATAAATGAAGCCAGCCTCAGAAACTTAGCAAGGCCCTAAGCAACTTAGCAAGACCCTGTCTCAAAACAAAAGGGCTGTGGAGGTAGCTCCTGGGTTCAATCCCTTGTACCAAAAAAGAAGAGATAAGATTCTAAAATGACTCAGCATTGTGTGTCTTTCTAGCTACTGCCCTCTCCTCCATGTATCCCCAATTCAAATACACCAACCCCAACCACTCACTCTTTTGATGGGTCCATACACCTCAAACTCTCTCCGAAGCTTGGATTCTGTTGTGTCATAGTTCTACAAAAACAGAGAGACGAAGTTAAATGAAACAGGGGCTGTCAAAAAGACCTTGAACAGTCCTAAGGACTAGTCTTCTGTCCTCTGTCCAGACCCAGGGTCTCAGCAGCTTCGGGTTCCAAGGTTTTGGAGCTGTAGACTCACCACTCTAGCCACGAAGAGAGTCTTGAAGGCATCACCCTGAGCATTGGGATCATTGTGAGGGTCCCCTGTGCAGAAAGCAGAGAAACTATAAGTAGCAGGTATCTACAATCTCAGGTAACAAGACAAATACAGATAAACAGGCAGAGGCCAAGGAGACAAAGATAAAACTGGGAGGAAAAAAAAGATGAAACTGAGGAAGCTCCCGACTAGTAGAAAACAGTTGGTGACTTGGCAACCTTGGGAACAGCCTTCTCTTGAGTGCTGGTTTTCCTGAAGCACAGTGGCCTTTACCAGAGTGACTGATAAAACGATTTAGGCTGATAGGGAATACTGACTTTAAGCAGACAAGGTGTAGCATGCTTAAGTGCCATTTCAGACCTACATACCCTAAGGACCTCATCCCTTCCAGATGCAAGGTGATCTGAGCAATTACTAAGCCCAGTAAGGCCTCTCTGGAGATGGCGCCTGATCTCAAGGGCTGAACTTGCTCCTTCCCTCCCTTATCCATGGCTGCAGTGCCATCTACTGGACAAAGACTAAAACTACAGTCCACAGGAAAATGCGAAAGCAAAGATCCCAAGGCTCAGAATAAGAGCCAAGAAAGTCCAAGTCCTGCTTCTCCTATACCTGGAGCAAATGTGAATGGTCCCTGACATCGGTCAGATTCCTACTCCAGCCTTGCAAAACATGTAATTCTCATACCTAGCCACTGAGGAATAACACTCTCCAAAGAGATGAACTAGGAATCTTATTAAAAAGCTGATTCCAGGGCTGGAGTAGCACATGTGATGCCCTGGGTTCAATCCTCAGCACTACATTAAAAAACATAAACGAATAAAATAAAGGTAAAGGGGGATATGGTTTAGCACCTCTGGGTTCAATACCCAGTACCAAAAACAATAAATAAGTAAATAATATGTGTGTGTGTGTGTGTGTATACACACACACACACACACACACATGTATCCATCCATGTACGATCTGCTAGGTTAGGCCTAGAAATAAGTCATTTTCATCAAATATGGTGGACCCAGCACACACAATAGTCCCTGACCCCTGCCAAGATCCCAAAGCACTCCACTCATCATTGCACAGTAGAGGCATTTCTTTCATGGTTTAGAATTACCCTCTGAGGGCCTGTGATGTTCTGGGATAATATGAGACAAGGAATACTAAAAATCTATTGAGCACATACTATGGCCCAGTGCTGAATTCTGAGATTTTACTGTTTTTGCCAATGGAAGTAAAATAAAACACACATGGAAAAAGGGAAGTGTCAAAAACACAAGGGAGTGCAAAAGGTTTTATATCCCAGCCTGATTTCATAGTCCAGGCATTCTAACTACCAGACCCACAATCTGAATGCTGGGATGCTAGCTTCTTGGAAGATAATTTAGATGTTGCCAATAAGCCAGAGAAATAAAAGTCTCAGGGGGCTGGGGCTGGGCTCAGCAGTAGCGTGCTTGCCTGGCATATACAAGGTGCTGGGTTCGACCCTCAGCACCACATAAAAGTAAATAAATGATATTATGTCTAACTACAATGTATATATATAAAATATATATATAAAAGTCTCAAATATGTTTGCCATAAGATGGTTTGACTACAAGTATAAACTAAGGAATTTCTTAAAAGCCAGCAGCGTTGGAGGCTGGGGTTGTGGCTCAGTGGTACAGCACTTGCCTGGCATGTGTGAAGCCCTGGGTTTGATCCTCAGCACCGCATATAAATAAATAAAATAAAAAATCCATTTACAGGGCTGGGGTTATGGCTCAGTGGTAGAGTGCTTGCCTAGCATGTGTGAGGCACTGGGTTCGATTCTCAACACCACATATAAATCAACGAATAAAATAAAGGTCCATTAACATTTAAAAAAAGTAGTCTTTTTTTTTTTTTTTTTAGTTAGAGGTGAATACAACACCTTTATTTTATTTTTATGTGGTGCTGAGGATCGAATCCAGGGCCTCACATATGCTAGGTAAGCACTCTACCTCTGAGCCACAACCACAGCCCCAAAGGTCCATCAACATCTAAATAAATAAATACAAATTAAAAAGAAGGTAAGGAAGGAGTCTTCCCTTGAGAGAGAGAGATATATCAATCGATCCATTTACAACCAAAAAAGAAAGCCAGCAGCGTGAGCCCAAAATTACAGAAGTAACTATGTGGGGACCAATGGAAACTCACAAAGACAACTCTAACTTTGTGTGTATCCCCTGACCCTAGCAAGTTTTTTGCCATATCCAATCCCTCTGTGTTGTACTTTTCTGTGCCCAGGTCTCTTGAACTGTCCTGGCTATCTCACTCATTCAATAGGCAATTATTAAGCACCTAATATGTTTAGGGATTTAGCAGTAAATAAGACAAAAATGACCCCCAACCTCAGGGAACTTGTGTGCTAATGGACAGTAAACAAGGTAAATGTGAGGATCACATAATCTTATCAGATAAGGACAGAGATGGGGAGAATAATAGATTTTGAGTGCAAACTTAGGAAAGGCCTAAGGAGGAGACAGTGACATGTGACAGAAAACCTGAAGGTGTCATGGCTGCAATAGGGAATGTACCTCTAGACATTAGGCATTCATGGTGCTAATAGATACCATCGAGTGATTACTGGGGGCGGCAGTGGGCAGAGGAAGTCAAGGAAGAGCTGAGTATCCTGCAGGGCAGCTAGGAAGTGCCCAGCAGACTAAAGGGGAAAACAACTCAACACACTGCATGAACTGCCTACAGTTCTTGCTTATCCCAAGGGACCCAGGAGTGTAACTAAAGGTAAAAGCACATGCCACCAACTCAACTGTATCCAAATATCTGAAGAAGGAACACATTACTTGAATAAAGGTGGCAAAGAACTATGATCAGTGATCCACCAGTCTGTGTCCATGTATACACACAGTTGCATCCCATCCTGCCAGCTAGGCTAACCTTATGAACTTCTTGTTTTTTTTTTTTTTTTTTTTTAAGAGAGAGATTTTTTTTTTTAATATTTATTTTTTAGTTCTCGGCGGACACAACATCTTTGTTGGTATGTGGTGCTGAGGATCGAACCCGGGCCGCACGCATGCCAGGCGAGCGCGCTACTGCTTGAGCCACATCCCCAGCCCTGAACTTCTTGTTAAAAGGCTTTTATAAGGCATTCTGTCTCAACAAATCTTCATTTTTCATCTTAAAAATGAAAGTGACACCCAGGCACAATGGCACACACTTGTAAGCCCAGAGGCCTGGGAAGCTGAGGCAGGAAGATCGAAAGTTTGAGGCCAGCCTTCACAATCTAGTGAGGCTCTAAGCAACTTACCAAGACCCCTGTCTCAAAGTAAAAATAAAAAAAATTAAAAATGAGGCCAGCCTGAACTACTCTATGAGACCTTGTCTCAAAATTTTCAAAAAGAGGGGAGGGCCCTAGAAATTATATCAGAGGCAGAAAATTTTTGTGTTCAAAAAGAGCGGGGGTTGGGGGTGGTCGCCAAGATGCCACTGAATGGAAGATGTTAATTTTGACTTTTTTCCAAGCTTTTACAGCTAGGGAAAGAATCTCTTAGGGACAGGGAAATATTACAGTATTTGAGCCATCCCCCCCCTTATGGAGAAATTCAAACATTGGGAAGTAAAGATGTATAATGAACTCCTATGAAACAGTTTCAGTTATCAACATGTGCCCACACTTGATTCATCTCTTATGTTCCACATTGTGGCCTCTAATAAAGACTTCTAAAAAAACATAACCCCAGTACCATTACTACATCCTAAAAAATTAACACCACGGGGGTTCAGTGGCACACATCTATAATCCCAGTAGCTTGGAAGTCACGGGATCACAAATTAGAGGCCAGCCTCAGCAACTTAGCAAGATCCTGTTTCTAAATAAAAAATAAAAAGGGCTGGTGGTTAAGTGTTCTTGGATGCAATCCCCATTACCAAATAATTGATGATGATGATGATGATGATGATGATGATAATTCTTCCTTAACCTCATCTAACATATATGGCTTAAATTTCAAAAAAAAATTTTAACTGGAACTATTTCAAAAATACATTTTAAGAGCAACTTCTACCAAGTCCTTTCTCACTCTCCAAGAGTTGTCTCTTTTCCTCTCACTTCAATAAATCCCACTCTTAAAAAAAATAGTTATCTCATTTAAATTGGGATTCAAACAAGCTCCAAATATCATTTGGTTGCAAAACTTCTGACTTTTTAATCCATATGGTCCCCTCCTTGACCCACCTTTTCCTTATTTACGAAACAGCCTCAACTCTGTCCTGTATGATATCCCACATTTCAATCTGGCACAAAGCAAGTTATGGGTGGGCAGGGAAGGAACTGTCTTATGTGGAGGGCAAAAGGAAGCAGTTAGTAAAAAGAGCAACACTATACTTCAGAAAGCCCAGAAGTGGACTCAGGCGGGGGAAGAGATCAAGGCAAACCAAGTAGTCTGTGTTGTCCAAGCAGGAGAGCCCTGGGTGGTGGTGGTGTTCGTCATGGAGAAAAGGGCCAGATGCGTGACATTTAGAAAGTTAACAGGAATTGGCTTTGGTGATACGATGGGGAAGAGATTTAAAAACATGTCCAAACCAAACCAAACCAAATTAAAAACAAAACAAAACAAAACAAAAACTGGTGGCTGCACAGAGTAGTACATGCCTGTAATTCCAGTGACTCCAGAGGTTGAGGATGGAAGATCACAAGTTTGAGGCTGGCCTGCACAACCTGATGAGACCCTATCTCAAAATAATATTGAAAAGGGATAGGGATGTAGCTCAGTGGTAGAGTGCCCCTGGGTTCAATCCTCAATACCAGGGTGGAGGAAACAAAACCAAACTAAGGGGGCTGGGGATGTGGCTCAAGCGGTAGCGCGCTCGCCTGGCATGCGCGCGGCCTGGGTTCGATCCCCAGCACCACATACAAACAAAGATGTTGTGTCTTCCAAAAACTGAAAAATAAATATTAAAAAAAAAAAAACTAAGGCTTAGGGAAGTAGTTCAATGGTATAGCACTTGCCTAGAATATTCAAGCCCCAGCACCACAAAAACCAAACTGGGTGGCAGCAAGAAAAGCTCATGACTTTACAAAGCCAAATAACCTTGTCTCAGAAACTAGGTTGGTAGCGAGGGGAAATCCCTGTTGGTTTTGGACACCGACTCTTAACATGTCTTTGCTGGTTCTGAGAAAGGACATCCATACAGCCCTAAAAGTGCCTAGAGTTCCCAGCTGGATGGTCTCTATCAGGCACTGGCATTCAGCACCTGAGGAAACTGGCCACTCCAAGGAATAAAGTCCAGAGGGAAGTGATTCACTAAAGCCTCACATGTCAAGAAAAACTAACATGGTCTGACCATAAAGACTTCACTCTTAACAATAAAGGGCCAGTGGAGGCTGATATTTGATCCTCTTGTAAGTCTGGTTAATGGCTTTAAGGTACCTCATCCCTACTCCAATTCCTCCTTACCTGGAAGTAATGGAACATACTCAGTCCAAGGGTCAGGGAGCTAGCGATGGAGCCAGAACCTAATCACCAATTTACACTTGTCTCAGCTTGTAAGACTTCGTGAGCTATATGATAGCCCTTCCAATGTACTCCCTGGCAGGAGGAGTCAAGGTAGCAGGTGTCTCCCTTCCTGCTAACCTTTGCCCTAGGTTCTCCTGCTTAAAAGCCTAAACCAAATGTAGTGCTTGGCAAATGGAGAGAAAGTGAGCAAAATAAGTAAACCAACCCCTTTCTCTAAAATAGGCCCTTGGATGTGCCCTAGGAAGAGAAGGATTAAGGGGATTTGAGGGAGAAGAAACGAAGAAGAAGAGACTTACACATTTTTAGCTCTGTCTCCACTTCCTGCTGTCGCCGCTCAATCTTTTCCCTTCTCTGTCAGGAGAAAGGGGAGGTTGAGAAGTGAGTGCAGATAGAAGTGCCTTGATTTCAAGGACCATCTGGAGAAAGTGGCTAAAAATACATTAGGAGACAAAATTCACATACCTTCCTCTCCATGCGTTCTTCCCGGGTTTCTGCACGAGTTGGAGGAGGGGCATCTCTAGGGTCCTGGGGAAAAAAAGAGAGGTGACAAGGGAAGAAGAACTGGGGGAAATGGCAAGGGGCACTCACCAAGGCAATGTGAATCTCAGTTGCCTCCCATACACACCCTACTTTTCTACAAAACACCAATAGTCCCTGAATTACAGTGGAGTCAGGGGAGTGGCATAGCCCATGAACCCTCAAGGCCCACAAACCATTGCTGGTCTGTGACAAGTATAGAAATTGGAAGTACTTAAAAAACTTCTATAGCAGCCAGTCGCAGTGTCACATGACTGTAATCTTCAGTGGCTTGGGAGGCTGAGGCAGGAGGATCACAAGTTCAATGCCATCCTCAGCAACTTAGTGAGAACCTATCTCATAATAAGATATTTTAAAAAGGGGCTAGGGATGTGGCTCAGTGGTTAAGCACTCCTAAGCTCAATCTCTGATACAAAAAAAAAAAAAAAACCTTCCGTAATATTAACTGCTCAGGAAGCTGAAGCAGCAGGATCACAAGTTAAAGGCCAGCCTGGGCAACTAAGACCCTGTCTTAAAATATAAAATTAAAAAAGGCTAGGAATGTAGCTCAGTGATAGAGCAGCCCTGGGTTCAATCCCCAGGCCCATCAAAAAAAAAAAAAAAAGTACCAAAGGTTTTTGTATCCCATATTTAGGGAACACACTGTTTCTCACAGCTCCAAGTATGATTTACAGGGAACAAAATGCCTGAGGAAGTGATGGGAGCAGGGATGAGAGGTCCTTGCTTACAAGTGCCAAAGAACAGGATGAGGCCAGAAATAACAGGAGCTGAGAGAAGGAGGCTCTGAGGCAAACAACTGGACACTCTCTGAGGGACAGGGCAGGTCTTAAAGGTCTTTCTTCAGACATTCATTAAATAGTAAATGGCACATGACCTGAATTATCAAAGGATGCCTCTGGTCTGCATGTTCCCATTAAATTCATTTAATTGGCTAATAACATTTCCCAAATGTGGGTTCACCAAGGGTGGTAAATCCCACTAAAGATCCACCTTTCTGTTATCTACTAAATTTTTTTTCAACTCTCTATTCACCTCCAGCTGCCTTTCCTATCCAATGCCAGAATGCTCCTCTTATGACTTCTGGCTGTGTGCCAGCATTTCTCAGGTGTGCTAATGATAGATGTGGATATACCAATTTTTCAAATGAAAGAACTAAGATCCAGGACTTTAAATTGTTTACTCACATTTGCCTCACCGTTACAGAGCTGAAATGCCCAAGCCCAAGCCCAAGGTCTTAAGCTTCCAGTACACAGGGCTTTGTAACCCTTAAGAACATTGTCTTACTAATGATAAAAATAATAAATACAGTAACTAATAGAGACATTTAATAACTGCTTGGTGCCAAGCCTTTTACATGAATTTTGCCAGGTAATTCTCCATGGATATTACGAATATATTACTATAACCCTCTTGCTAAAAACAAACCAATTTATCAAAAGGATACTCATGCCCAAGGTCACAAGGTTGACAAATGCCATGGGCCAACCACTACCTAGTGGATTTTCACAAAACACCACAAGGGATGTATTATCAACCCCATTAACGACAGAAACTGAAGATCAGGAAAAACACCTACCTAAATTCTAAATTGTACATACAACTAGAAATGGCCAGAAGCTGGACTCTCCAATCTAGTCCCCTGCCCCCCAGAACCCAAACCACTCCAGTCTGCTCAGTGAACTCACCTCAAACTCTCGGATGTATGGTGCAATGCCACAGTAAGGTTGATTGTGGTGTTTTTCATGTGGTAGCTTCTCCAGGGGTGGCAGATACGGGATAGGGTCACGGGGGGCAAAGAGGGCCAGAAGGTTGGGCGGCAGGAACTGGGTCATATTGCCAAATCTGAGAGCAGAAGCAGGACAGACTTCTGTCAAGGTAGATTGGTTAGGATGGCTCCCCTATTACCCCCTGACTCTCCAAAGGAGAGAGAGAAAAAAAAAAAAAAGGAAAACTGGAAAGAAGTCCAGCACCACAACAGGCTCCGCAAGGGCAGAGAGCAATCCTACTTGGGCGAAGGGAGGTAAATCTAGATGAGAAAGCAAGTCCTTGGCGGGAGCGGGAAACAAGGCTAATAAGGGAAAGAATGGAATAAGATTCTGAAGAGTTGAGTCTCCTCAACCAAGAGCTGCAGGACTCAAGAGTTCCTAAAGGTTTGTGGGGATTCAAGGATCTTGAGACAGATGCTGAGCAATGTGGCCGGTGGTCCCCTACCTTGCATAAGAGATTTTTGGGACAGAGGGCTCAGAGGGCTGGGGTTGGAAGTCTCCGACCAAGGGGAGTCATAAGGAGAAATCCCCCAAGCCGGGGGCTTGTGGGTAATAATCTGGGCTCCCAAGAGCGAAAGGAATTATGGGTAAGGGTCCAGGACGCTACAGAAAGGCAAGAAAGAAAAAAGGCAACATACCGCAAGGGCCTATGGGTAGGGGACCGCGGCGGGTGGGGGGACGGGCTCTGAGGTAAGAGGGCTCGAGTACCCAGAGAACTCTGGATAAGTGGTGCAGACAGGTGCTGAAGCGGAGACGCGGGAAAAGGGCCGGGCCGCGGGGAAGGAGACTGGGGTCCATCGCAAGGGCTTGTGGGTAGCGGCCCCGCAGCCCTAAGGCCACTCAGTCACACTCACCCGCCGCGCGGCGCCCTCCTCGACCTGGCGTTGGTCCTGGGGCTCGCGGCGGCTGCGGCAACCCCTCAGCAACAAGGACTCCTGTTCCGGCTTCGACTCCAGCGGCGTCCGCGTCAGTCTCCCTCGGTCGCCCGCCCAGCGCGCGAACCAGGCCGCTGCTTCCGAACCCGCGCGGCCTCGGCTCGCGACGGGAGCAGGGGGGTGGGTCTCGGTCTCAAATCCCTCCGCCGCCCCACTGCGCACGCGCCGTTCGAGTAGCGTGTAAACCACACAGTGGGATCGGACTCTGCCGCGGACACAGCGCACGCGCAAGGTCACTACCCTGCCTTCCGGAGCATTGAAGTTACTTGCCGCGAGCTGGGCAGGGGCCGCAATGCGCACGCGCGCTCCTCACCAAGTGCTGCCGCACCTTGAGTTCTGGGCTCCAAACCGTCTGTATCCGCGAGACTCTCCCGATGCTCCGCCCCGTTCTTCTAACACTTCCCGGATCTTTTGCGCATGTGTGTTGTTAACTGTACTGTGCTATACCCCTCCGCCGCCTGGGAAAGAGTCCCTTCATGTATATCACGATTGCTGTGACGTCTGTTTAATTGGCAGAACTGTTCCTCTACCGCCAGGTGTGTGCTAGGCTCTGTGGGCTCTGTGGACCCGCCACGTCATAAAGCAAAATCTTCCTTACTGAAGCTTACATTGTCCTGGGGGAAACACTAAGCGCATTTAAATTAAAAAATATAATTTCAGACAGTTGCCAGCGTAACGAAGAAAAATAGTTAAGAGAATGGGAGTGGGAGCGAGGCTATTTCAGAAAAAGGGATCAAGGAAAATTCTTCTGAAGAGGTAACGATTGAAAAAAGCCTGGATACAAGGAAAATCCGGGCGGGCTTAACAGCAAAGTGCAGATGCTCTAATTTGGGATCAGATGGCCATGATCACGCATTGCTGGTTATGAGAGAGCTTGCAGCCATGTGGGTCTGTAAATATTTAACTATCGTAATTTAAGTGTCTTGGATTACATTATCCCTTTAACTACAGAAATTATTGCAAAATTCAAATTACTAATTTTATGCCTTCAGAAATATGAAAGAAACCATAATATGAAAACTCATACGCGGTTGCATACCCATGTTAATTGCAGCACAATTCACAATAGCTGAACTATGGAACCAGTCTAAGTGTCCATCAATGGATAAATGGATTTTTTTTAATGTCACACACACACACACACACACACACACACACACACAATGGAGTTTTATTCAGCCATAAAAAAGTTATGAAATTAAGTCAATGCAAAAAAAAATGGGTGGGAACATTGTGAAGCATAATAGGCCAAACTTAGAAGGTCAAGGTTGTGTGTTTTCTCTCATATGTGGAATTAGGAAAAGAATTTTACGAAAATTGAAGGGCAATCAGTAGAGGAAAGGGACTGGGGGGAAGGAGGAGGGGTAGGAAAGGGGAAATACTGGGGAATGGTTTTGGCCAAACTGTGTTGTTATGTCTTGTGCACATATGAATATATAATAATGAATCCCACCATTATGTACAGTTATAATGCACCAATAATAAAATGTGGGAAGGGCTAGGGATGTGGCTCAGGCCATAGCGCACTCGCCTGGCATGCGTGTGCCCAGGTTGGATCCTCAGCACCACATACAAACAAAGATGTTGTATCCGCCGAAATCTAAAACAATAAATATTTTTTAAAAAATTCTTTCTCTCTCACTCTCTCTCTTTAAAAAAAATAAAAATAAAATGTGGGAAAAAATAAATATTTTGAAAAAAGCCCATAACGTGCATTAAAACATATTTTGACAGATTTTGCTTGTGTGTGTATATGTGAACTCTATTATTTTTGCAGCTTTCTCAGAAGTCCAAAGTTTTTTCAACATTTAATGAAAATAAACAAAGTAATCCTGTCTTAATATTTTTTCCTATACCATTTGTAAGTAGATTCCAGAGGCATTTCACACACCCAAGCATTTAGCATATGTTTCCTAAAAATGAGTACTTTCTCCTACATAACCTCAAAGTTTTCTCTGCTAAGAAAATTTACCCAGACCTTATTCAGATATCCCAACTGACTCCAGAATATCTTGTTTTAATCAGGATCCAGTCGGGGGCCACACAGCTGCACATAATCAAGAGTTTGAGGTAAGCCTAGGCAACAGTTAGACCCAGCCTCAAAAGGAAAAAGCAAAAAATAAAAGTTCACACATTGCATTGGTTGTCCTGTCTCTTTAATATAAAGTAGAATAGACACATACTTTTCTTTATGACTTTTTCCCCCTGAAGTCCAGACCAGTTTCCTGCTGAATGTCCCACATTCTGGATTTGTCTGATTGTTTCCTCCTGGCATTTCAGTTTTTCCACTATTCCTGTTTTCCCTATAAAATGCAAACTGAGGCTAGAGACTTGAACAGATTGAAGTTAAGTATTTTGGGCAAGAACCTGTTGCTAATGATACTCTGGATTCAAGTTGTTTCATGTTTGGAGATGCATAATTCAAATGATTCCACTGTTATGATGCTGAGTTTGGTCACCTGGTCAAAGGGTCACTTGGTCAAGGAGCCACCTGCCTAATGTCTCCTTGTAAAAGGTACATTTTCCCCTTGGTAGTCTGAGCAGTGAGACTTTGACTTGTGAAAATGTTCTGTTACCAAATTATCTCTCATCTAAGGATTGTAGCAGCCATTGCTGGTCATTGCCTGAATCATGCAGTATGTGGGGGAGGATCACATCTTATTTGCAATGAAAGAAAGGGTTTTGGCAGAGGAAGGATATAACATAATTCACACTTTAATGATTTAACTTGTTATTATTTTAGTAGTAGTAGTACTAGTACCAGGGACTACCCCAGGCGAGTTTAACCATAGAGCGTGTGCACACCCCCAGCCCTTTTTATCTTATTTTGAGACAGGTTCTCAGTAAATTGCTTGGGGCCTTGCTAAGTTGCTGAGGCTGACTTTAAACTTGTGATCCTCCTGCCACAGCCTCTGGAGTCCCTGGGATTACAGGCATGCACCACCATGCCAGGCTTCGATAGATTTATTTTTTTTAAAAAAATACATCCAGGCACATCAGCACATGCCTATAATCCCAACGACTAGGGAGGCGGAAACGGGGGAACTGCAAGTTCAAAGGCAGCCTTTTCTCAATTTAGGGAGGCTCTCTACGAAACTAGACCCTGTGTCAAAATAAAAAACAACTGGGGATGTGACTCGGTGATAGAGTCCCTGGGTTCAATCCCCAGTATTGATTAAAAAAAAAAAAGATATTAGCAGTGGGTGGGAAGAAGTGATCAATTTAGCTATATTCTTTGAAGGTTCCTGGGGCTCCTTATTCTGTGTCTGTAGGGATGGAATTAAAGTGTATAGAAAAGACAGGGCTGTCCCATCAATATGTATAACTGTAATGCACCATTAAAATGTGGAAAAAAAATCAAAAGGATGGACCAGAAGTGTGGCACAGTGGTAGGGTGCTCGCCTGCATGTGCCCTGGGTTGGATCTCAAGTGCCTCTCCTGCCTAAGAAAGGGGAAATTAAAAATCTCCTAGAGGAGGGCTGGGACTGTGGCTCAGTGGTAGCTCACTTGCTTAGCATGTGTGAGGCACTGGGTTCAATTCTCAGCACCACATATAAATAAATTTTAAAAATAAATAAAGATCTATCAACAACTAAGAAAAAAATTTTTTTTAAATCTCCTAGAGGAGGACTGGGGTTGTGGCTCAGAAGTACAGTGCTTGCCTAGCATGCATGAGGCACTGTGTTCGATTCTCAGCACCACATAAAATAAAAAATAAAGATATTGTGTCCACCTATAACTAAAAAATAAATATCTAAAAAAATATCTCCTAGAGAAGATTAAGGAGGCACCAAAACACAACATAGGATTCTGGGTTGAATTCTGAATCAGAAAAACTAAAGTACATGGTTTAGTTAATACACATTAACCTTGGCTCAAATAATTGTATGATGGTTGAAAGTAATGGAAACTGGGTGAAGGGTACTCTGCACTTTTCTTGCTCTAAGTCCACTGTAAGTCTTATAACTATTTCAAAGTAACAGATTTAAAGAAAATTTTTAAAAGAAGCTAATCTTCCCTTAATAGTAATAACCCTTACTCCTAGATTTGTCCACTGAGCAACTGGGTAATTGATGATGGAGCCATTGGTTTAGAGAGGGAAGACTTGGAGAAGAGTGGAATTAGGGATTGGAAAGGGTTCTGGGTTTAGATATGTTAAAGACAACTGTTAAATACATAAATGTGGATTGAAAACTGGAATATTTGAGTCTGGGGATCACAGAAGAGTATGGAGCAGGAAACCTAAATTTTGGAGTCTTTGGGGTACAGATGGTATTTGAAGCCATGCGACTAAATGAAGTCACATAGAAGCTGAGAGAAGATGAAGGGAGGGTTCCACAGGCTGAACCCTCCAACATTTAGGGCTTACCTAGAGCAGGAAGAACCAGCAAAGGACATTGATGGTGAATTGTAGGAGGAAAGGCAGGAGAGTAGGTCTAGAAAGGCAAGGAAGGACAGTCCCCCAGGAAGGAGGCAGCGCTCAGTGTCTACGCTGCTGAGACATGCACTAAGGACTGGGCTGGGATGTAGCTCAGTGGTAAGAGCACTGGCCTAGCATGCATGGGGTCCCCGGAGTCACACACCACGCACACACCCACAATCAGACAAATACAAACTGAGGGATGGTCTACAAAATAACTGGTATTCTTTAAAAGTGTTGAGGTCATGGGCTGGGGACATAGCTCAGTTGGTGGAGTGCTTGCCTTGCATGCACAAGGCCCTGGGTTCAATCCCCAGCACCATACACACACACACACACACACTCACACACACACACACAAGTATTGAGGTCATGAAAGTCAATAAAAAAGTAAACTACCACAGACTGCAGAAGACGAAGGAGACATGGCAACTAAGTGCAATGTGGTATCTCGGATTGGACCCTGGAATGAGGAGAGGACATGAATGAAAAAGATGGAAACCTGAGTGGAAACTGCCACTTGGAATAATGTCATACTAATGTGAATGTCTTAGTTTGAACAAATATAGCATTTCAGCATAAGATGCTGTCATTAGGGGAAGCTGGATGAAGGATGACATGCAAAAACAACTACTTCAAAGTGAAAAGAAAAAAAGATGCTATTAAAACATGAGATGATATTGAGGAATGGGAGAGTCTGACTGTCATGGCTTCCCACTAGCTGCTGTAACCAATTACTACAAACTTGGAGGCTTAAAATAAAGCTTATTAGCATTCAGTTCTGGATGTCAGAAATCTAAAATGAATGTCCCTCCCACACAGATTCCTTCTAGGGGCTCCAGAGGAGAATCCATTTCTCTGCACCTGCATTCCTTGGCTGGTGGCACTTCCACTATCTTCCAAACCAGCATCCTGGCACCTTCTGATCTCTGCATCCCTCCTCACATCCCCTATGAATTAGACCTTCCTGCTTTTCTCATGAAGATTCCTAGCCATTTGGATAACCTGGGATCATTTCCCCAACTCAAGAGCTTTAATTTAATTACATTTTGGGGGAGATAGCAGGGATTGAATCCAGGGGTGCTTAACCACCAAGCCATATCCCCAATCCTTTTTTGTTTTCTGAGACAGGGTCTCAGTAAGGGCTTCTTAGGGCTTTGCTAAGTTGCCAAGTTTAGTTTTGAACTTGTGATTCTCCTGCTTCAGCCTCCTGAGCTGCTGGAATTACAGGTGTGTGCCACTGCACCCAGCTAAATTTCTTTAAAAATTTGAGGCATGGTCTCACTAAATTGTTAAGGCTGGCCTCATACTTGTGATCCTCCTGCCTCAGCCTCCTGAGCACTGGGATTACAGGCATGTGCCACCGCGCCCAGCTTAATCATGACTTCAAAGTCTCTTCTCATAAGAAATAACATAGACAGAGGTTCCAGGGACTAGGAAGTGGTCATCTTTGGGGACCATTATTCCCTTCCCATGCTGTAGACCTGAAAGAATTAGAAGCAATGACTAGAGCAGAATGTGCAGCTGGAGCAGGAAGAGAGGATCCAGCGTGTTGGCAGGACATTGGTCTTAGACTGTGGGGGGACCAGATGATCCACTCAACTAATGAAAAGCAGGGATCTGGCAGCATAGGCTGTCGGACAATGAAGCGTTTTGGCTACTTCAATGTTTTCAAGGATGGAGATGAAGAGGTGCTGAGTGCTGCAGGAGGTTTGCAGAGAAGATAGCTGAGTAATAGTTATCTTGGAGGGGTGGAGAGTGCATGGATTAGGGACATGTAACATTACCAGGCTTGGGTTTGGGATCACAAATGCAGAGGGATAGGTATGTCGCTTTGGTTCAGTCTCCCCCGGTGCCCCCCAGAATGAGAATTCTCTAGGGTGGGATTTGAACCACCCTGCCCTGGTAGGGGTCACAGGTCAGAGCTAAAGACAGATGGAAGAAGTGCCTTTTTTCTTTTTTCATGACACTAGGGATGGAACCCAAGTCCTTGCACATGATAGGCAAGTGCTCTAATACTAGGACACATCCCCACCCCACATTCTTTAGAGCTGGGGTAGAGTTCAATGCTACAGTATGTCCCTAGCATGTGCAAGGACCTGGGTTCAATTCCCAGCAGCACAAAATTTTGTTTTGTTTTCTCTTTTGAAATAAAGAAAGATGCTCAGGGCTGGGGTTGTGACTCAGTGGTAGAGTGCTTGCCTAGCATGTGCGAGGCACCGGGTTCAATTCTCAGCACTGCGTACAAATAAATGAATAAAATAAAGTTCCATCAACATCTAAAAAAAAGTATTTAAAAAATTGAAATCTTAAAAAAAAAAAGAAAAAAAGAAAGATGCTCAGACAGTGTGGAGGGGAAAATAGTTGGAAAGGAACACCCAGAGGCCACATTCTGGATATCTATTACTGTGGTGGTTGTATTTTCACCCCCAAAACTGCATGGCTGCAAACAATAAAGAACATTTATTTTACTCATAGGTCTGTTATCTGCGTAGGGCTTGATGGGGCAGGCTTATCCATAGTTCAGGAACATCAGCACCCTGGATGGGCCGGGAGACCTGCTTCCAGGTGCTGGCCGTGGGCCTTAAATTCCACCAGGGCCAAAGGCCAGTAGCCTATCTTCCTCTTCATCTGGCCTGGACTACTATCCCAAGAAAGATTGAGATGGAAAGCTGTGTTGCCTCTTATGGCCCAACCTCAGAAATCACATAACGTTCCTTCCTCAGTGGTCTGACACCAAAAACGGAACATGGAATCTAATGATGGGGTGTGGCAAAGTTTCAGACAACCAAGTGAGACAAGAAATACAGGAGAAGCCCTTTAAAAAAAAAAATTGGTACTAGGGATTGAACTCAGGGGCACTCGACCACTGAGCCACATCCCCAGCACTTGTTTTTGTATTTTATTTAGAGACCAGGGTCTCCTGAGTTGTTTAGTGCCTTGCTGTTGCTGAGGGTGGCTTTGAACTCACAATCCTCCTGAGCCACTGGGATTACAGGTATGTGCCACCGCACCTGGCTGAGAAGCCCTTTTTTTAGAAATTACAATATAGTCCAGGCCAGGTTATTAAAGGATCATGTATATGAGGATACTGAAATGCATAAGACAGTAGTTTTGGAGTGATAGGTAGGCAGAATCTAAAATTGTCCATGAATGAGCAGGAATGGACAGAAGGTAATGAAATGACTTCATCAAAGGATGGGATGGAACTGGGGATGTAGCTCAGTAGTAAAGCACTAGTTTAGCATGAGTGAGTTTCTGGGTTCCATTCATAGCAAAAAAAAAAAAAAAAGAAAGAAAGAAAGAGATAGATGGGAACATGTATCCATAGATAGCATCAGCTCCAAAAAAGTTGACATTTTCAAAGTCAGGTAGAGTTGACTAAAAGCCACAAGAAGGAAGACATCTGCCTTACCTCCAGGCCCAGCAGCCAGAGGGAAGTGGGGTCTATGGGGAGGAGGGGGGTCATTTAGAGCAAGAAGGTGAATGAGGTGCCGAGGGGTTACTGGAGATGCTGCTGTTGTTAGTCCATAACTTTCTGTCCCTTCAAAGGTTTGGAAGTTGCAAAGGATGGGGGACTGATTAGATTAAGGGTGTACAAGCTGGGTGAAAATGAAAGAGTCATGGGAAGAGTAGCCACTCAGAATCACCAGGCCCCACCATGATGCCACCTTGACTCATGGAAGAGACCTGGGGCCACTGAAGGAGCTCTGGGTTGATTGATGAAAGGTTTGGTCCTGCAACCAACACAGAAACTCAGAGCTTAAAGACCCACAAAAGGACGTCAGAGAATGGAAGAAAAAATAAAAACAAAGAAATAAGGGAGACAAATCAGACAGGTAGGGGCCAGCAGAGACCACGAAAGAGTCAAGCCAGCAACTGGGGAGCTACTGGAGTGGCCATGGCAGGAGGCCACTTGATCCCAGGAGTTCAAGGCCAGCCTGGCAATATAGAAAACCAAAAATAAACCATGAAAGAAATGCACACAAACACACAGAGGAGGAGGACAGACAACTAGAGAGGAGACATAGCTTTCCAGAAATAAACAAAAAGAATGCCTCAAAAATTGACAGGAGGGCTGGGTTCATGGCTCAGTGGTAGAGCACGTGCCTAGCACGTGTGAAGCACTGTGGGTTCGACATAAGAAATAAAAGTATTCTGTCTATCTACAACTTAAAAATAATTTAAAAAGCAAATTGACAGGAGCCAATAGCAATGCATGCCTGTAATCCCAACAGCTCCAGAGGCTGAGGTGGAAGGATCCTAAGTTCAAGGCCAGGGTCAGCAACTCAGCGTCCGAGACCTTAAGAAACTTGGCTAGCTCTTGTCTCAAAATTTAAAAAAAATTTAAAAAATTAAAAAAGGGCTGGGAATATGTATCAGTGGTACAACTTCCCTGGGTTCAATTTCTGGTAAGAAGAAAAAAAAAATCGGCAGTTACAACTCTTAGTTCGTCTCTCCATGCCCCCAGCAGAGGGCGCCCAGAACCCCCTTCCCAGTGGAGGTGGGGAACCGATGCCCGCCACCAGCCACCTCCCCAAGCCTATCTGATGGGCTATTTTTACTCGGTGTCACCGGATACCGGTGACCGGAAGGCCATCTTCAGTCTGCCCTTCGGTTCCTGAGAGTGACCCTACAGCATCTCCCCGCCTCCTTTTGCACCATTCAGCACTACATACAGCTCAGGTCCCGCTGCATCTTAGAAAGTCTTACAGAGAAAACAAGTGGAGACTCCTGGGCAGACTCTGGCGAGGGGATGGGTCGAACATGTTCTGTGGTTTGCAGCTGCCAAAGGGGCCCCAGGACGGGGCAACCACCAGGACAGTTGCCACCAGGGCATCACCAAGGGTAAGGGTCAGAGATTCAAGGAAATGACCCGAGTCGTCCTGAGGCACTACAACAGACACGCGCCGTTTAGGGATACAGGGAAAGGAAAAGACCTCAAAAAAAAAGGCGGAAACCCAGAGACACTCAGGGACAGAGACACGGAGGACTAAGAGAACCAGTGAGAAGGGAGCCAGAGAAAGAATAGAGACAAAGGAAGGCAAAACACAAACATGGACCTCTCGAGAAACAAGGATCAAAATAAAGTCAGAGATCCAGAAAGACAGAGATCCCCAGACAGAGGTCCTCAGGGGCACAGGTCTCAGAGATAACTGACCCGTAAAGAGATACTCAAAGATACATCCCCAACAGAGACCCAAAGCGATTGACACAAGTAGATCCAGAGACTTAGAGAGACAGACAGACAGGAAGAGGGGGAGAGAAATATGCGACTCCAAGAGAGAAAAAGAGAAGAGAGAGAGGACACACACAGAGACTCGAGAGACGCAGAGCACAGCTCCCCAGCGAGAGGGAGACGGGGTGAAGAGAGGCCCAGGACGCAGACAGCGGCGGAGAGTGGTGCAGCGGGGCTGGGGGAAGGCGGGCGTCCCGGCAGAGGGCGCCGGGCTGCCCTCCGCCCCGCAGGGGTCACGGCGACCCCTCCCCCGCGCCCTGGCGGGATGGCCGGGCTATTTTTACGCCCGGACACCGGACACCGGGCTGGGGAGGCGGCGGCGGCGGCGGCCGAGGCGGGGCCGCGCCGGGCCGGGCATCGGGGCCACACGTCCGTCCGCGGGTCGCCGGGGCTACGCGCGCCATGGAGCCGCGGTGCCCGCCGCCGTGCGGCTGCTGCGAGCGAGTGGTGCTCAACGTGGCCGGACTGCGCTTCGAGACGCGGGCGCGCACGCTGGGCCGCTTCCCAGACACACTGCTGGGGGACCCGGTGCGCCGCAGCCGCTTCTACGACGGTGCGCGCCGCGAGTACTTCTTCGACCGACATCGGCCCAGCTTCGACGCCGTACTCTACTACTACCAGTCGGGTGGTCGGCTGCGGAGGCCGGCGCACGTGCCGCTCGACGTCTTCCTGGAGGAGGTGGCCTTCTACGGGCTGGGCGCGGCGGCGCTGGCGCGCCTGCGCG